TAGCAAATAGCTGCTGCTTGTATAGTCATGATTCAGAACCAGTAGGTGTTTGGGGTCAGCGCAGCAATGTTTGCTCCTCTTCCTCTGTGCTTCCTCTGTAGCTGACAGTCTGCTTGTAATCAGACGTATTTAAAGCCCTTTAGTTCGCTGTGGGTGGCACTTAAAAGGTTCAGTTAAGCATCAGCAACCTTACTGTGCTGATGGGAGCTCACTTCAGTTCTCTTTGGCTTCAGTAGCTTTGCAATCAGAATTGGGATCTAAATGCACTGTGATGTGAAGCACATTTTGAATCTCTGCATGCTCCTCTTGTATCTTTTATCTGTTCATGTATTCATTTCTATTTGTGTTATTTCAGTTGTTACATTAAATGTGGTGTCGTATGGAGACGTGTAAGGCAGGACAGGCAGGGGAAAAAGAGTAATAATAAAAGGATACAAATAGAAATGCACACCGTATCGCCAACAGCTGCCCCTGTAAGAAAAAACAAACGTACAACTCCCAGAGCACATAAATGGGAAAATACGCAGATACTTGAATCAACAGTTGTACTTGGGAGTAAGTGAGCGAGTGTTATAATAACTGCGTCTTTGTCACAAATGTGCTTCATAATGAGGATGGGAAGCCCCAGTAATGTCCCCCAGGAGCCAGAGGCAAATAATGAACCAGGACAACCGTGCCATTCGTAGCCCCCACAGTACCGAAGACCTGAGGCGGCACATCTCTGCGACATCTGCGGGCCCATCCTAGCAAGAGAGGGACGGAGGACCCAGATGGGGTGTCCACAGCCAAAGGGTGAGAGTCCCAGAGGACCAGAGGCAACGGCCAGTCGCTAGAGACCAGCCACCTTGGTACTTGGTACAGGTTTCCAGGGACCTGAAAATTCCCCGGGACACCACCGAGTCTGGGGCACCCACTACCCCCACCACACAGAGTAGACTGGGGCTCATCTGCACACTGTGTCACAATACCAATCAGTTACAACAGACACACACACACTAAAGGGACGAGACAAACTGGTCTGGGTCTGAAACAAGCTGCACCCAACAACGGTTGTTCCCTCACCTGGACGCCCCAACCCACCCAATTGGCCTAACGGCACCCACGAGGCGCAGAGTGGACATTCTAATGTGGGTCGGCCCAAACTGCACGGCGAGTTGGCCAGGGAGGTGCAGACAGCCCCCACAGAAGGAGGGACACAGCCAGAGACCAGGCGACCCCGGGCGTGGGATCCCAGGCCCAGCACTCGCCCCTGCCCAGCTGGGGGCAAGTCCCCCACACCACAAGCACCCCAGTGCCCACATCCCAAGACCGTTAGGCAGCACCCACCCCACTTCTCAACCGTCACCAACTGAGACAGATGCATAGACACTCCAAAACCGCAACCGCAGCTCTCCAGCCCCCAGGAGGCCACCAGACACCCGTAGTCCCAGAGACCATCATCACCCACCTGCAAGTCAAACAGGGAAATGAGACTACACCCAACCACCCCCATTAAGTAGTGGAATTGATCAGTGGGGGCCGGAGGGAGACAAATTCATCCGTCCGTGGTTTGGTGAAGAGGCAGACATTCCACCCGTTTCTATTTTGATTGGTGCATAAGGTGTTTTTTGGTTTCCAGTTCATGAGGATACTTTTCTTTGTGATTCGTAAGGAAAGAAGGAGTATAAATGATGTATTTGCTTCCATATCTAGTTCACCTCTATCACTGAAGTTGCACAGTTTGGGTGAGGTTGGTATGCTGTAACGAGACATGTGGTCATAGGTCTTACCCACACGTGCTCAGGACCATATAGCATGCATATAATTCTCAGCAGAGTTGTTTTTGCAATAAGTGCACGTGTTCGACTGAGTGAGGTCCATTTGGAACGAACTTTGCCCTCTCAGTTTATGGTTGGGAGCGAAATTGATTTGTCAATTTTAAACAATACAAACTTTTTGAGGTACAGATATTTAAAATGTTTGACACCCAAGTAGGTATTTCTAGATTCAGGTCACTGGGGTTGAATCTTTCCTGTATGATGATTTCAGTTTCTCATATTCAAGAAATGTGCATTTGCTGATTCTATGTGTTATAGGTTCTTCAAATGAAACAAATTTTCCATCTTGTAGAACATGTTCTGGATTTTTTCCCCTTCTCGTGCCACAGTGAAAAACTGCAAAGCATTGTCTTTTTCTGATAAATATCGGGATTGTTCCAAATCGGTGTTAGTTTCATGGGCTAAGTGGAGACTTCCCACCAGACTGTGAGAGAAGTGTTTATGTTGAGGGTTTTAAAGCACTTATGATGCTCAATGCTGGAGCTGATGGTGGCAGACTGGAGATTTTCACTTTTCTACAGAAGGCTTGCTCTGGGTCCAGCATAGGGCTGTCTAAGAAGCTTGGTTTAATCCATTTTAAAACAGATCTATTGGATAAGAAATGGTGAGAAAGATTTGTCAATTCTAGATCACACTCATGTTTTGGTTTGTGTAGCGTTTAGACTTTTTATTAGGATCATTGAAAATGAGTAGTTTATTTTCAGCAGACTCATCATTTTAGTGGCAACTCTTGCCATGAGTGATATAGGTAAAGTTCTTCAGTGTGTGAGATCACCCTCTAGCATTTTTAATAATGGAATATGATTCAACTGGATCAGGTTTAAGAGCTCGGCTGAAAAATGTATACCTGGATATGTAATGTTACCTGGATATATTGGAGCGGTGTCTGACAGTTCAGAGGCAGAGCTGCTGATTTACTCTGGTCGATGGAGTGTCTGATATGGATTAAAACTTATCTATAAATGTGATCGTCTTTAGCAAGGTTTGTAAGTAAAGTAAGTAAAATGTTATTTATATAGGACCTTTCAAGATGAAATCACAAAGTGCTTCACAGAAGCTAAAACATAAAAACAAAAATCAACCAAAAGCAAGTTTAAAAAGATGAGTTTTTAGCTGTTTTTTAAAAGAGATGACTGAGTCCACAGATCTCAGGCTCGATGGAAGATGGGAGTTCCAGAGTCTGGGGGCCACAGTTACAGAAGCTCTGTCTCCTTTTGTTTTCAACCTCGTGTAGTGGACATGACCTCAGGGACCTACTGGGGATGTAAGGATGTAAAAGATCACTGATGTATGTTGGTGCTTGTCCATGCAGAGCCCTGAATGCCAAAATCATTATCTAAAAGTGGACTCTGAATTTTATGGGGAGCCAGTGCAGCTGGATCAGCAGGGGTGTGGCATGGGAGTACCTGGAAGACTTGGTCAATAGCCTTGCGGCAGTATTCTGAGCACCCTGCAGACGGTCCAAGGAGGCATTACTTAGACAGGTGAACAAAGAATTACAATAGTCCAAACAAGATGAAATAAATGCATGTATGATCATTGTCAGTTCAGAGCGTGACTCAGCAAAGTTTCTTAAATGGTAAAAACAGGAGCGGACCAGAGATATAACGTGAGCGTCCAACGTCAGAGCTGGGTCAAAAGTAACACCAAGATTCCTAATAGAAGATTTGGCAAATGAAGCAAGAGGGCCTAAATTTTCCACTACCAAGGGCACAAATTTATCGGGAGCATAAACAAGGACTTCAGTTTTCTCTTAAAGGAGATATATAACTGAATATCATCTGCATAGCAGTGATAAGAAATGTCCTTAAAAGTGCTCAATAAGTGCTGAAGAGGGAGTAAATACAACGAAAACAATAAGGGTCCCAACATAGAACCTTGTGGCACACCATAGGCAAGAGAAGTGGAGGAAGACCTGAACTTAGAGGTAGCCACAGAGAAGAATCGCTCACACAAACAGTCCAAAGCAGACCCTGATATACCCACCCAGTGTCTCAGCCTATCTAACAAAATGTGATGGTCAACCGTTGTGAGGAAAGTAACACGTCATAAGTGTATAGGCTCACCTTCTGGTCTGTCTTCAGTTTGAACTTTGATAGCTACGTTTGGTCAGATTGCTGCTGCTGCTGCTAATGGGGAATCCGTTTAGTTCCAGTAGAGTTATATTGTTAAGAAGTTCTGCAGTGTCAGCATCGGAGGGATTCATCTGTGATGAGTGTAAAGCTGCATAAAGGTCTTTAAAATGTTTTTTTCCTGCTGTACTGAGCGTGTCAATTTCTGGATTAAATCTAGGTTGAAGTCTCCTCCTATTATGAGTCGGTGTCAGTGATCAGAAAGGGAAGGAATGAAGAAAGGAGGGGTCATCAACATTTGGACCATATATACTAGCCAAACACAAACTTTATACATTAAGTATTATAAGTCTGCCCTCTGGATCTGTAAGTGTTGCTTATAGTGAAGTTAGTTTTTCTCCTAATAAAGGGCAGCCAAAGAACGCCCTTCAAACAAGCTGAGTTGTGCTTACAGATTGATTAAAGGAGTTCAGCTTGTAGTGAAGGAAAAAGGGTCACACCAAATATTGACTGTGAAGCTTTTCCTTATATGTTTAAAAGTATGCAGAGGTTTCAATAAATGCATTTTTCCTGACACAATGTAAAACAACATCCAAAAAAATGAAGGGTGTAAAGACTCTTGCACCACAGACTTGCTGGTGTGCTCCTGCGTACTATTAGAAACATTAAATAAGAACTAAGACACACACATAACCCGTTCACATGCAGCTAAAAACAGCCACAACACGCTGGGAAGAGCAGCCCGCCTGAGCTGCGCCTGCCTGAGCTGCGCCTGCCTGAGCTGCGCCTGCCTGAGCTGCGCCTGCCTGAGCTGCGCCTGCCTGAGCTGCGCCTGCCTG